CTCCCGAACCTGTCCCATCCCTCTGCTCTCTCAAGGCAATGGCGCAGCTTCAGGCTCCCCGGCCATGGTGTACCTCTCCTTCTCATCGAAGTAGACGCAAGCCATCAGCTCCTTCCGCATCGGCGCTGCGGCACTCAGGCAAGTCATGGCTCCGGCGGCAATGTCCTCCAGGTTGTATGGTCGGAAGTTTTTCAGTTCCATGATGTCTTTCAGCCGGACGAAACCATCCTCAGGAGAAGTGCAGAGAAGACTGGACAACGGGAGCGGCACACCCGCGCAAAGCCTTCCGGATTCTCACATCCAGCTTGTGAGCTGCATGCCGTAGCACATACGAGAACCTTGACACAGCAAGCCTCTCCGCGTTGCCTATAAAATCAGGCTGAGGTTGCCACATCTTGGAGATCTTTACGTGTTCACGATCCTCTGCCAATCTGTTGAAAATGGGCTCCAACTGTGCCTCTTCGGGGAGCATACAATGACACTCGATGCTTCTCTCGACGTTGATGCGCGCACGAGGCCCGTTTTGCACAGCGTGTAACGATCTCCCTAGTCACGCAAGCGTAGATCTCCGCAGCACGGGGCTCGGAGTGTGGAAATGCATGGCCGTCCTCGTGCGAAAGCTCGAGAAGATCTGAGTACATGTCCCGAAGTGACCTCTCTCCTGCCTCGAAGAAACCATCATTCTTGCAAGTATAAACACGCAGAGTTGGCTGATCGGACAGCCACCCGACAGGCCAACTGAAGATTGGGTCGTCGATTTGACCACCACTGAACATGACTGTCAATGCCCAGGGGGCTTTCCGAACACCTTTTCGACGGAGACGGTCCAGAGCCAAGGACACGCAGTTGGATCCCTGTGAGAAGCACAGCAGCACATCGACTGGATCCTGTGCCTGAACCTGGCTCAACAAGCCATCGACCCCCTCATCAACAAAGTTGTAGCAGCCGTTCCCGTGTGAATACCAAGCGCGAAACGGCTCACCCTTTGAGATCGTCTTCTCCAGCTGACTAGGCTCTCGAAAAATCGGATCATCGGCACCAGCAACTTCTTGCCAGATTAAAGGCGCATCCAGACATATCCACTCTGCATCTTGAACTGCCTGAAATGCTTTCATGAAACGCAGGCTCTGAAATTTCATGATGGCAGAGTTGGAGTTTGCCCCGTGCACCAACAGAATCCGTAGTTTACGTGGTGAGAATAGGTCGCGTCGCGGCTGAGCGTCAAGCATCCCAGTCGAGTCCACAAGCTGCACCTCTTTGTCTTCCTCCTCTGTATTCTCCTTCTCGACCGAGGACTCCTTCGCAGACTGCAATACGTGCAAGACATCCAGGTCGGTCTCACCTTTGATCAACTCTGGAAGCATCTCAGTCAGACCCAAATGTCCCGAGTCCCGCAGTGCCGAGGATGCTGCACGAAAACGCACGCGCCAGCAAGGATCTCGTAGGAGCCCAAGGAATCGAGATTGAAAGTCCCTGGCCTCAGGAAGGTCAAGGGTCTTAGAGGCCCTTGGCCCTACCAGAGCAGCCTCACAGCGAACTGTGGCGTCCGGGTCGGCAAAAGACTTCGCCAACAGAGCGAGCATGTGTCTTTGTACTGTGACAGTTTGTTCAGGTAAGCACATGGCAGCGAGAACCCTCAAGGTCTTGCGCCTCAGGCGAAAACATGCCTGGCTGCCTTCACCGAGAAGGCCGTCCAACAGGCTGCCAAGAACCTCTTCAGCCTCACTGGATTGCAGGCCCCGCGCCAACAGTAGTGCCGTGCGGAGGCTTGGATCCCGCAGGTCGGAGAGCAGTTCAAAGATTTCTTGGCTGCGACCACGCACGGGCTGAAGCAGGGCCTTCACAGCGGCACTACCACTAGCATTTGACAAAATCGTGTCTTTGCATGGCAAGCACCTAGCTACAAAAAATGCAAGACCGGAGATAATCATTGCATCAGAGCCAGGTCCTTCTGCTGCAGTGCTATGCTGACCCATCCAGTTGCAGGACCCTCACCCAGGCGCAGCCGATATTGGAGCCGTGTCCCTCCCACGACTTGCTCCTCCGCAACGAAACTTCCCACGGGCAAGCGCCCGGCCACCTCTTCAGAGGTACTGCTGCCTGTGCGAACTAAGGCGCCGCTCGTGCTCACCACGCGCCAAAGTGCCGGGACCCGTTCGACCAAGGCTTTGCCGCTTTGAAGCCGAAGCGATACCCATCCTTCCGCAGGTCCAGATCCGCAGAGTTTGCGAAAGTGTAGCCGATCTCCCGGCTGTGCCAGCTCGGTGAGGAGGGCCCCGGTGGCGAGGCGTTCCTCCGCCAAGTCAGAACGCACATCTTCGCCTACTCGGGCGATGATTCCACCCTTATCGCCACCGCCAACCACCCTCCACAGGTGAGCATCTCCAGCCGTCATCTCCCGTCATCTCATATTCTTGCAAACTTGCTGGAGCAGTCAAGGCTGCAGGTTTTCGACAACAGGAATTGAGACAGCGTGCAGCTATGAGAATGACCAAAGGCTAAGACCAATTTCGGCTCAGAACAGCAGTGCCGACATGCGGCCTTGTCTCCATCACGTTTCAGGTTCCACCGCATGCCTAGCACTGAAAAGCTCTCGGACACCCGATCGCCCTTCGGCAACAGTGCCGGGCACATGCGCACATTTACCAGCGGTAGCTGTTAACCCTTGCATACCTCCATCGTCATCGTCGTCATCCTGCGACGGGCATTGTGCTTGTGTGGTCATGCTCCTGAGTGCAAGTGCAACCCAGACTGGGTTGCGGTCAAGGCCAGGAGGTTGCGCGTCTCCACCCTGTCCCTGTCGGCGCGAAAAAGCACAACGACGCTCCACCCGCAACGAGTAGCATCCGCGGAGAAGTGGCCTTCGACGAGGATGCGCCGCCAGCATTTTCACCTGACACTTAAGCACATACGAGCATCAGTTGAAGAAACTTGCTTGAGCTCTGAACTGAAGTCGTTTAGATCATCCTCGTCCTCCTCCTGCAGACGTGGGCGGAAAGCGTTCGAGTCGCTCAGTGCACTTCAGTCGGCCTCATCCGCCGATTGGAAGGAAGCATCCGAGATAGCATCCTGTTTGTATGCCGTCAATCTCAAAGATCGGCTGAAACGCTCGCAACTGCTCCATGTGGGTGATTGGGTCTGTAGCAAAGATGCCTCGTCAGCCTCACCTGACATCTCTGGAGAGCTGCCTCGTCACAAGAGGTGACCCAATACTTCAGAAGTGGGCTGTGCTGCAGTGTAGGTTCCAGACATCTGCGGTCGGCTCTTAGCACATCTACCCCGGGCCCACAGCAAAGCGATCTGGCTTTTTGGGGGCCAAGAGGTAGCTTGCGGAAACACAGCATGAAGGAACCCAAAAGCAGTGGCGAGGCACAGCGGCGAGGCAGAGTGGCGGCGACACCCAGGCCGTGCTGTTTTGGCGCGGGATAAAAGATATCAGTTTTCTCGCTTGAGGGAAGAGCAAGCCGTGGCAAGATCGAAGGACATCCCAGCGCTATTGATAAGAAAACCTCTTCACGCCTATGGTCCATGGCATCCCCTCGATCCACTCGGCAGTCTTCCGGGCACTCAGCTGCATCAGTGACCTCAGTGACCCGGTGCTGACGACAAACCGCATAAGTCGGCAACTCAGGTGGAGGCCGCCCTTCGCAGGGAGCTTGGAGGAGGCTACCTGCTTCGAAAGGCGATCAGAGAAGAGCTCAGATGCGACAGGGAGCACCTCGCTGAGGATGGCAAACGTCCCCTGAAGATACTCAATGGGAGCACCCATTCCCAGGTCCTTCCACACCTTGAAGGCCTGACGCCCACCAAGCAGCCCGAGCAGTCGGCTAAGTCTGAAAATTGTGTCTCGAATCCGCACCTTGCCGACCTCCTCCCAATCAACATAGGGTGCTTCCTCGTTCCCCCACTTGTCCTGAGCTTCACAGCCTTGAACATTGAGGCACGCCTGAGGCCTGGTCTCGCAGCCACTTTCCCCTGACCCCATCCCACGGCTTTGCAACAGGGTGCAGAGTGGCCCGGCCATGTGACGCCCCACACGTAGGCGTGACCTCAAAACTGTCTGTTGGTACAGGCCGTCACTCTTCACGAAGAAAGATGCCTCCTGGCGGATACTTCGGCTTCACATCCTGCAGTCGGTCGATAGGGCGTGCCCGCTCGCGCCCGAAGCGGTCACTTCAAAGAGTGTCCTTCACCGGGTCGATGAGGGCCAAGGCTGCTTTGTCGTTCCTCTGGCCTCAGAACAGCCTCTCTGGCCGGATTGATGAATATTTCCGCTTCCGACGCCGCTTTCGGCCAGGGCCACGGCTGTTGTTGAGGCCCATCTCCGCTGCGGGTTTGATTCGCGGTATCATCGTCCGCGTTACTGACTTTAAGGCCTGACATGGTGAAGCACATCGACTGGCGGCTTGCCCACATCTTCCCTCACCGGTAACTCCTACGCAACACATCTAGCCTGCATCCGGGACCTCGGCCACTCCGACACGGACTACCACAAGTGCCGAACAGCAACATCCGAGCCGCCTGGCAGAAGAAGTGTCGAGCTGTAAGTGCCGCACGCCATGGTGGATTCGGCACGGGTTAATGGAGACCTCAATCAAAGCACGCACAGCGCCATGAAACAGGGGCTCTCAAGTCTTCCTCAACTCGAATGCAAAATTTCAGGCTTCCACGCACAAGCAGCTACGGCGTGTAGGACGCAGCTTGAGCACGAAGCTGTTGCACGAGAAACCAGACGCAAGTTGTACTCAGAACTTGAACATACTTGAAGCCGACACTCGACATCACAGGGCAGGCCAAAACTTTGTTTTGGACCTCCGCGATCTCAGCCTGCTGCCGTCACACGGCCTAAGAGCGGCAAAGCACCGAAGTTCTCCTCCCGGGCATTCGGAGGCGGATCCTTTCGTCAGTCTCTTCACGGAGTCCGACGAACACGACGAGGGCTTCTTGGCCGGAGCAGACATCTTGCTGGACTCGGTACAAGGTCGGTCTTCGTTGAGTCCTCAAACCTCACAGGCATGTCACTTCCTCACATGTGAAAGACTGTAATAGAAGCAGCTGCTCAACCCTTTGAGCCATGCTGGAAGCATGGTATGGTCCTGGCCCTGTGCTCTGAAATGATGCCTCTTTTGCACTACACACTCCGTTTCGGGACATGACTGCGAGGACAAGCGCAACACAGTACGGCACCAACAACCATCTAAGCTAAACTCTACGTAGAAGACCTCGAGAAGCAGAGCCCGAAACTGCTCCGCCTGAATGTCGCTATCGAGCTGGGACAACATCGGTTTCTGGACCTTCACGTGCCATCCCAGCCTTGCAGCAGTGCCGCCGCACACAGGGGTCCAGTCTGCGCCCTTTTGTACGTATCAGACCTTCGTTTAAAAAGCTCTGCTGTGCACTGCAAGCAACGCTGCACCCATCTGTTCGGCAGCCAAGTTGCCGAAGCGAATGTGCTCTGCTATGGTCTCCACCCACTGAGTGCAGGTCTCAACATCGCATGCATCAAAGCAAAAGGACCGCCGGGCATCGCCGGTGAAAGACGACGGTTCCCGCCAGCCGTGTGGCTCTGCTGGAGAGATCACGAAAGCCGTTTCCGCCGCCACGTCTTTTCGTATCTGCGCTCGGTGCACTAGAAAGTTGATGCAGCCCTTGGCTTGACCTTTGGTCGACACTCCTTCGTCATCAAACCACATGAAATGACCATCTTGAACCACGCAAACTCGCGGCTGCTGGTCAACTCCAAGGAGACGAAGCATTGCTCGCAGGCGATTTGGACTGGTTTTGAGCAGTGACCCACGCAGCTTTGGCAGCGCAGGCAGGGAATCGAACGCGAACTCCTTTGTGCGTGTCACGGTCGTACCCAAGGACTTCCATGGTAAGCACTCCGGATTCCCGCCTTATGCAGCTGGGAGGCTTGTGGGGCAGTCGTGGGGGGCTTGGGTTCCTTTTGGGGTTCGGAGCGCCTTCAGTGCTGGTGGGCGTCCGTGCCCTCAACCCTTCAAAATGCTGCACGGAGCTGGGATCGGGACCTTTCTTGCGGTGGAGGACTGCGCGGCCCTCTTCTCGGAAGAGCTGTTTGGTGACTACCTAAGAGCTCAGGAGTGGGGAGCGGGGAGGAGCGGGAGTGGTGAGGGGTTTGGGGAGTGAGTGGAGAGGGCGAGAAGTAGCGGCAGTAGCAAGCCGCAGTTGGGAGCGAGAGGGAGTTGGGAGTGTGCTTTGGTGAGGAGTGCGCGGGAATCCAAGTCAAGCGAAAGGCAACGCTCTTCCCGACGAATGGCTTTGGATTACTCCGAGGAGTGGTGCATCAATCTAAAAGAAACGAGCTCTTAAGTCAAGCACCACGGCTGCAAGGAACTCAAGCGAGCCTGTTTGGTCACCACCTCCCTTTCTACGGGTCAGGTGAACATGAACTCTTTGCCGATGGTTCCCTCAATTAGCCCAGATGAAGCCGGGATGATCCAGGACGAGGTCGAGGCACCACTTCGCGAAGGAGGCCTGCACCTCCGACCAGGGCTTTGGCGTTGCTGATCTCAATCTCGCGTGTCTCCTGCACGGAGTCCCGGATCTCATTCCCGAGCACCTGCCAATGCCAAATGCAATGCCAACATCTCCGGCAAATCAAACTAGTCACGGAGGTCCCTTTTGAATGGAAAGGCTGGACACCACAGCAAAAGAGAACTGTCGCATCCAAGCTTAACAGGAAATGCATCAAGCACTTGACGACCATCCCGCCCCAACAGTCCTTTTCACACGTTTCTGATGCTGGCGACCAGTGTGACCCTTGTTCAACCCCGGACCAGGGGAGTTCATGCCAGCGGTATGATCCAGCACAATAGCACATCACGATGTCAATTTACACGTCAACGTGGCTTTTATTGCCGCGTGCTCTACTGAATCACCAAGCATTGCATGCATTGCACTCTTTTTCACACGTGGGGCCAGCACAAGCTGTAGCAGCACAAGCTGTCAGACAGTCAGAGAACCGCACAGCGTCAAAGTCGTAGACAGGTGTTGATCATGTGGCAGCGCATACAAATGC